ATTGATGCTCCTTTTAGAAACCTTTCTGTCCTTTAAATGCTTCCAGTTTATATCTTCTACTTGATATGCTTCATTGGTATCTACGAAAACTAAACTAGAACATTTGCCCAACTAAGCCTGATCTATTACTAGGTTTTCTCATATAATTTCCATTTCTTTGCTCAATTGAAAATAAATGAAGCAATTGCAAAAGTGGAGTTGAAGTTGTTAGTTGGCCCACGAACCTTAGCTGAAGCGGTAAGGGGTGGATGGGGGTGAGGGTAGAGATCCTAGGTTCAAACCTTCCTGTAATAAAACAATGTTGTTCTTTGAATGTCTTATTTTATTTTTCAAATCAGGAAATTACAAACATAATCATGGTATTGGATCTGAAAGGATGTCTCCAGCAACAAAGCCTCATGGAAGGGATGATTGGGATATAGAGTTTCAGATTCACCGTATGGAAGCAAAGGCATACCATGCTGTGTTGAGGGCTTTTAGTGCTCAATCGAACAATCTAACTTGGGTAAAGTTTTAAATGTTAACCTCTTTTTTGGCACTTACAGATTTCATATCATGTTGCTTCCTATTTGTCTCTACAGATTATTTTTATTTCCTTGTGTTATTGTGAATTGTTTTCTTTCCATTTTTGTGTTATCTCAATGTCCAAAAAGTCTTTTATTATATAGGGACGAGAGGCACTTATGACTGAGCTGCGGAAGGAACTTAATATTTCAGATGATGAACATGGAGTTCTGCTCACGAAGATTAAGTCAGATGAGGCAATAAAAGTCATAAGGTCCTCATAATTTGTTCCCGTTGAGTCATACAATAATACATCTTTTGTGATTGTTATGATAACTTGGCTGTGGAAAATCTTATTCAGTTTTTTTCTTTTCACTTTTTTGGTGTATTTTATGCAGGGAATGGCGGAATGATGCTCATTGTGCTCAAGAGTGTGGTAAGGCTGCTCCTAGATATCCTTCTAAACTAGTGAGCAATGCTCAACAGAGAGAAGCGGAGACTCAACATCCTCCTGTTTCAAAGTCTCAGAAATATTCCTCATGCAGTCAGCCTTGTGCAGAAGTTATCCCTTCTACTGCTGCACCAGTAAGTAGAAAATTTCCAAGTTGAAGATTGTTTATTGTCATTACATTTATTTTATATCGCATTCTTTCTACATCCTATGGAAGGATATTTGGTCTTAGTAATCTCTTTAATAAATATCACAGGATGCCCAAATCAAAGACATTGGTGGAATGAGAGTGAAACTTGGAAGAAACTTTGTGACTCAAGGAAACAGCCCTTTTTTGAACTTGAAGGCATGTATTTATTTAACTGTGACGATGCTACTTGATCTAGTGTTAGTCTTGAAATTTGCATCTGTCTCTGTCTCTGTCTCTGTCTCTGTCTCTCTCTCTCTCTCTCTCTCTCACTAGTCACTCTCCCATACACACTCAGAGGCTGTCTCTTGGGAACAAATATGAGCTCTCTTCTGCTAGAAGCAAACATTTAAGTCCATATAAGTCTCTCTTGTTGGAGTTGTGGTTGCAAGAGAAGGCGGACATTTCATTTTAGAAGGTAGTGAATGGGCTTACCTTTGAGTATTCATATCCCTAGTGGTGTATTATAACTTATAAGTTGCTATAAATTTGTAAACTGTATTGGCAAGTCAGATGGACGAGTCTTATTGTCAACTTGATCCTCTCCCTTTAAATTACTTTTCTTGTTGACAATAATAATTGTATAAATGGTTTTCTTGATGTCTTTTGTGTTTGCATGGGTAAAGAAAACTGTACAGTTTGATTCAGTGTCCACTTGTTAATGTTATTCCGTGGATTTACAACAAAATAAATGATGCCTTAAAGCTGCTGTCGTTGGATAATGATGTTGGCTTAGAGAAGCACAAGGAATTATAAGATTAAAAATCAAAATACATTTTTGTGGGTTATGTGGATTTAAGGCATAGATCTAACTTGATGCAGTACATTGAGTGGTCAATGCATTCCTAACGCGCATCCTAACAACAAACTTTTCACAGCTTTTCCTTATCACTCTTGATTATTCACGGTCCTTTTGGGGAGCTTTCTATACTGTCCTTACATTTTATCTTTGAGGAGTTTTAGATTTATTTCTTTACTTCTTCAATCTACATTAACCTCTGGTTCTACTGGATTATACCAAACTAGTATGTAATCGGGACAATATTACCTTAATTATATGTTGGATTTGCTGATTCTAAGACCTACTCCAACCTCAATTATCCTGTACCAAGGACAGGTTCAGTTTATCTTTGTTTAGTTTCAGATTTATGTTTGTTTCCTATAACTTCCTTTAAATGATTATACTAAAATCACATGCTTTGAACTCAAGTTTCTTAAAATACTTGTACAGTACCAAGGAGAACTTAGCAAGGCTCAAGGGAGTGGTGAATTGGCAATGCGCTCATCTGGGAATGGTAGACAGTCTATGCATATAATTGGTCGTAACCCTCAGGCACCATATGGTAGCAGAAATACTGGACTGGTAAAATCCCAATTGAAGATGGGCTTTCACCCAACTGGCTCTGACAATTTAAACGAAAGTTCTGATTTGATTAAGATACGTGCTACAGATAAAGTCCTTTATGAGGTGAGCCAAAAGTTTTCATATTTTTTCATAACATAGTTATTTGTTTTTTGCAATGTTTTCATGAGTTAAGTTGGATATTTATTTTTAAACTGGATTCGGGTGCTGATTTTAGAGGGGAAGTTTAAAATACAACTTTTGATGCAGATATATGAAATGAAGTATTGATGGTTTACAGTACTTGATGTTGGTAACCATTGGAATCCCAAATTATCTAAAGTAATGGGAGTTTTATAAATATGGCTAAGCCATGTTTGAAGAATCTTTACCTTTTTAAAAACATGAGTTGGAATGAATGGAGATTAGTGAGTAGGCTAAAGTAAAATTGTATGTTATAATGGGATTCTTCCAACATTTTAGCAAACTTTGATTGGATGAACCTTGATATAGGGTTTGTAGCTGTTAATAGTTTTGTTAAATGAAAGAAACAGAATAATTCTATTAAGATGTCATAAATACAAGTACAACAACAACAGGATCAGTCCACCAATGTACAGATAGAATCTTCAAGACTCAATTAGCAAACAGCCTCAGATACAAGTAGAACAACAATGTATGATGCCCAATGGACTTTTCCAAAAGAACTCGATCTCCTCCTCGCAGATATTTTTCCAAAGAAATATGATCTTTGAATAAATTATAAAAAATATCAGTATGTAATTGCCAACAAAAGAAATTTTGGTTGGACATCTGAATAATTTCCATTGACACAATTAGTTCTGAAGGGTTCTTTGCCGCTTTATCTGTACGAGGTAATTGATTTTTTGTTTGTCCCGATCATATTGGGAAATATGAATTCTTAGGTCATTAAGAATTCTGTTGTACATAACAAATCACATCAGTAAAAGTTTTATTTTTTGTCTTTTTTCCTTATGTGGCATCTCCTACTCTTGAGACTCTGTCTTTTGTAGTTCTGGACTCTGTCCGTAGTTGCTGATCCTTTCAGCATGCTTTTGTGTATGCTCAACATATAAAGATGTTCTCACCTGCGACCTTGAAAGGTGGTTAGTTCAGGATACAAAAAGGATATGATTGAAAATTCTATTAATATAAAAACATATGATTGAAAATTCTATTATTATAGAAACCTTGTATACCCCGAAAGTGCTGCTTGTCGTGTGTTTGCTTATGTTGCATGTTTCGCTTTTGGCAGGTTGAGAAGCTATTTGATTGTCAAGAAAGCCTAGTCCCACTTCATGTTGAGAAGGCAAAGTTAATCCTTAAAGTAATTTCTATACCCCATCCTGCAGCAGTGCAGTTGGTACCATTTTGTTTAAATTTAATTATCTGGCCAATAAGAACTCAACTATGATTTTTAAGCCCTATAAAAAAAGTAACACTATAAACAGCCCAAATTTTGTTTTGGTTTAGGAGCATGAAAGAGCTATCCTTGAAGCACTTGGCAAACTGCCTGATGTGTCAGATGTGGGTAAGGACTTCTTTCTTCAATCCTCTCTGCTCTCTCTGACTTCTGATTTCTGAAATATGAATATTGGCAAGTGCTTGATTTTGTAGATGATTCTCCCAAGCAAATCCGGCATAAGTATCCTCATGAACAGCTTCCAGTAACGGGACGCAAAATGTTGATACGCAATGACTTCTATGGATAGGCCACTAGGTTGACATACTGAGGGTTTATGTTCTATTGAAACACACGTGGTTAGGACTTCCTTTCATTGGCATTCAAGATGATGAAGCTGCCACTTAATTTGACCTGGTAATCTTGGAGATTTGAAGTCATGTATATATAACTGTCTACCATATGGTCCAAGGCCATCCCACGCCATAGCCTCCCATGGTGATCACTAAGAATGGATGTTAGCTTTTGTTGCTTTATGAACAGAAACGCTTGAGACAGATTTTCTGAGCAAATAGTTTTTCTTGGCACAAAAATGTTGGTAAAATTCAACTGGTTTATTTTACTGAAAAGTTATCCCAATTTCAAAAAACATGTTCAGTTGCCCACATTCTGAGCAGTGCTCATATTCTTTTGGTTGTAGCATGTGGATGTTTTGTTTTGCACCCTCTCTCTCTCTCCACCTTTTTTTTTCTTGCTGCTAGGAAATTTCGTTTTCTGGAACTTGTTTCGGGTACATAAGAGATTTAATTGGGATTTCAAATCAGAGGACGAAAACTGTATCAGAATTCCAAATAACGTTATGGGTTTGAGATTTTAACAAATGAAGGTGCCTCTTACTAAACCAACCCACGTTACTGATGTATCATGTGTCATTTTTCCTAGTATAGCTAAAGGCTTGTTATAAATAAATAAAAAAGAAAAAGAAAATAATAACACCGCACGTTACCTCTCCAAAAGATAACAGATTCCCCTCCAGAAGTTCTAAAAATAATGGACTTCAATTAATATCTACATCCTCAGCAACACTTCCTCTACAAGCTCTTGTGTGTGAAGTTTTGAATGGCAAGCTCAACTTCCATACTTCAACCCAAGAAACTCTCTCTTTTAATCCTCAACATATCCTTTCTCTTCCTCTTGTGTCTCTCTCTCATCACAACACATCTCCATTCTCTCTCTCATCACAGCTCAGGCTTACTGGGCCAATCCAATAATACAAATCTCAGTGAGATCAAACTAGTTGATGGCTGCACAAATCTCCATGAACACACAGATTATGAAACCAAGTGCCTGTATGTCAAAACACAAACAGGTTGCAGGCCTAAAGGGTACATCAATTATCTCCAAATATTTTACTGCAATCTTGGCAAGTTTCCAGTTCTAGGCCATGCTGCAATTCTACTTTGGCTTTTTGTTTTATTCTATCTGTTGGGAAACACAGCTGCTAATTATTTCTGTTCCTCCTTAGAGAGCTTGTCCAAAATCTTGAAGCTCTCTCCTACCATAGCCGGAGTCACCCTCCTCTCCCTCGGAAACGGGGCCTCCGATGTCTTTTCGAGCATCGTTTCTTTCACGAGATCCGGTGATGGTGATGTTGGCCTCAACAGTGTGCTAGGGGGTTCCTTCTTTGTGTCCAGCATTGTGGTAGGAGTTATTAGCATACTAATTAGCCCTCAACAGATTTCAGTTGATGAGGCCAGCTTTGTTAGAGATGTGATCTTCTTCTTATTCTCTCTCTCATCTCTTCTTGCAATCATTGTTATTGGAAGGATCAACTTGTGGGGTGCCATTTCTTTTCTTGCTATTTACTTTGTTTATGTTGGCACAGTTTCAGCCACTCAATTATACAAAAGGAAAAACAGAGAATTGTTAGGGGACAGGTTTTCAACATCTCTTGCTGCTTCAAAGAATTTACCAGTGCTACAAAGCTTTGATGACTTAGGAGATAGTACTAGTACACCATTACTAGGCTATGTTGATGAGGATAAACCTATTTTCGACACGAATTCGAAAGCCAGCCTTGATGTTCATCAAGAACAAAATTCAGGGTTTTCTTATTTGGGAACATTGATTTATATCTTGGAGTTGCCTCTCTACTTGCCTAGAAGATTGACCATACCTGTTGTGAGTGAAGAAAGATGGTCCAAGCCATATGCAGTTATTTCTGTAACTTTGGCACCAGTTTTGCTGGCTGCCCTTTGCAACACACAGAGGGAGAATCAGAGCTCAAGAGGTAAATTAGTAACATACATGACAGCAGGGCTGATTGGGTTGGTTTTGGGCAATCTTGCATATGTGACCACAAAAACTTGGGGCCCACCAAAGAAGTGCTTGTTCCCTTGGCTTGTTGGTGGGTTTTTTATGAGTGTAGCTTGGACTTATATTATTGCTGAAGAATTGGTCTGTTTGTTAGAATCATATGGGAATATATTGGGGATTAGCCCTTCAATTCTAGGACTTACTGTCCTAGCTTGGGGTAACTCCCTTAATGATTTGATTGCTAATGTTGCTATGGCAGTGAATGGTGGGCCAGATGGGGCCCAGATTGCTATTTCTGGCTGTTATGCGGGTCCCATGTTTAACACATTGGTGGGAGTGGGCATCTCACTGGTTTTCTCATCTTGGTCTGAGTATCCATCCTCCTATGTCATTCCCATTGACCATTCTCTCTATGAAACGATAGCGTTTTTGATGGGTGGCTTGCTGTGGGCCCTTGTGATTTTGCCCAAGAAGGATATGAAGCTGGATCGTTATATGGGGATTGGCCTTGTCGCAATTTACTTGTGTTTTCTCTTTCTCAGGATGGCCATGCTCTTGGTCTTTTGAATTTTAATTTCATGTCTCATTCAAAATGGGTCATTGTCGCAAGTTTATAGTAACTTCCATTATTAATATACATACATTTTAGGTAAATAGTACCCTTTTGTCCAGTTATTTTGATGTCGAGTTACTACTTCATTTTGTTATAATTTTTTTTTTTTTTTTTTATGAACGGGAGATGAATTCGAACTTGAAACCTCTTTAAGCATTAAAGAATGAAATATCATCAGACCAATAGTTAGTTCATATAACCTGGCACGATCGCTACCCACCCGTGTATAAGAATATACCGATCACACTGTCAATTAAGCATATATATGTATATAAGACCTATTCAATACCATCATCTACTCCCCCAATATAAAAGGTGTTAGAAATTTGGTTCAGACCAAATGGTTTTTAGTCAACTATGAGACACAGAGGGAAAGTACATATATAGAATTAAGACGAATAGACCTACCCAACAGTTAGCTTAAATATGCCTAAAAATTAGATGTACAATTCCTAACATAATAAAATATTATGTGAGATCATAAGGAACTTGTAATTCAAATAATTAAGAATAATTATCTCAAATAATTAAGAATAATTATCTCTGCATCCGATATCCTGTATTCAAATCACCACTCTCCTAATATCATGGTTAAGCATGATAGACTCTTTCCTAAGACATGTTAAAAGGATTTTTAGCACACACACATGGTCCAAAAGCTAGTAATAACATGTCTTTTCAGGACACCCACTTGGTCCAAAAGCTTTTAATGCATGGACTTGGACTGGACGTCCATTTCTTTCACGTGGTCTAAAAGTACTTATGTGGTCCATTGAGAGCCCATGGACACGGTGAGTTCGCCAACCTGTTGGAGAGACAAGTAGCGTTCCAAATATCGCACAGGTCCAAAGGTCGACTAGGATGTGTGTTGTATTTTAATCCTGATCCTCTTTGGTGAGGTCTGTGCCACAAATAATTCTACTTGTACAGATCGCTTGTCGAGCACTCGCATGAAACATGTGGATTAATAGACTCTAAATTAGTAATTTTGTATCCAAATTATTATTCATAGAGAAGTGTAACCTTACATATTGGGAGAAGAGGTGACAAATGAATCGGGTCAGTCCGAGTACAACAAGAGCATGGTCCGTTTATGTAAAGTTTGGTATGGTACAGTCCGTATTTTTGGGCTGTGCCGGAATGAGGTAATTAGGTCTAATAGGTCGGGTCGGCTTGTAACCCATCGCGAGCCGTGCCGGCCTGAAATCCAACAAGTTGGCCCGTTTAAAGCCCATTTATTAAATTATACTTGTTTCGGAAAAAAATAATACATAATATTATAATATTTATATCTTAAATTTAAGTCTATTTCTTTTCTCTAATATATATTAAATTTAATATTTTCTTTATATATAAAATAATGATTTTGTTTTTCAAGTTTCAAATTTTTTAATCTAGCCATTTTCTATATAAATGTACTTTAAATAAAGTTATTGACCTCTTTTTTTAACAAATAATAAATTTTATTAGTACGTACATAATTGTAAAAAGATTTAAATGATGTTGTAAAAAAATGACAAAAACAATGAAATATATAAGTTAAATTTAGCGTGAGCTCATATCGGCATGTTTAGTGGCCAGGCATGAGCACGAGCAGAGCTCATGGGCTTAGGCCGGGATTGATGATTTTTCTAAATGAGCGGGCCCGACACGACCCATTTATTAAATGGGCTGACTCTAAACGGGCAGGCCGGGGCCAACACAGTGCTCTAATTGGGAGTGAGAATTGTCATTCCTAAACAGCTTCTAGAAACTTATTCTCTAATTAATTTAGCATTATTGTGGCAGTAAATAAATTTATCCACCAAAATTATTCATTATAACGATAATTATTGTTGGACGCGTATGACATTTCGCCTATAAACTCAAAAGAAAACACATAAGTAATTTTAAGGGTCATTGACAAATAAGAAAAAAAATAGTGTGTCAATTGAGTAAAATAAAAGTTCTTGGTCCATTTTTATTGTCGTTACACTATATTTTCAAGCAAGTTTGAGTTAGTTGTTTAGCAAGATTAGGGTTTTACATAGGGGCAAGAGGGTTCAATTGACCCATGCAAACCCAGAATCAACCATATATATATTCCTAGGACTATAGTGGTCTTGTATTTCATAAGATATAGTCATGAATTAAAACAACTGGTGTTGCCCACAAATAACTTAATAAGTCATTACAAAAGATGTCCTCAATACTAACTATTACATAATTACTTGGTAGG